CTCTTAATTAACTTCTTGTTTATTGAACTGTTGTAAAAAAATCTATATGTAATCATGCTGAATTTTGGAGGAAAAAACGTCACTCTTCGTGTAATATTGATTTACTATATGAAATTATATAAATATATACATTTTCTGCCCCTATATCTTCCATTTTGTGATCATTCTAAATGCATTGTAACAGACTGAATCACGCAGTGAAAAAACGCACTCTATGCGCGCGCACTAGTCTAATCTACTAGACTTCACGGCACTCTGTAGGAGTGTTTTGTTTGATTTTTGGCAAAATACTGCTAATGTCAAATCGCACATCGATAAAACAATTACGATATTATCGCAGACGATATATATCGCACACCCTGCACCACTGTCTTTTTGGCTAATTTGTGCAAAACCTCTTGCTAAACTGTCAAAGCTTCATTTTAACCACCAATGCAACGATGCAAGTATTTACCTTACCCTATACATGCTTGCGAAGAGTTGACGTCGAGATTTTATAAGCTGCTAGTTTGGTCTCCCTAGGCAAACACAGCTTACACTGCATAACAGAGCTTAAATATGGTCAGGGGTTCACTTCATTTCCTTCGAGTTCAAATTCAGCAGAATACGGGGGTTTCGTTTTCAGCTGGGTCTGCTCTGCACCACCGTCTCCATCTTTTTTTGTGATTTTAGTGCCAGTTTGCTCTCCTGCCCATTATTTACTGCAGTAGTTTCCAGGGAGCGATTTTTTTTTTTACTCAGTAATTAATGTGTTTTAAAATGTAGCGAAGTACAGTACTTCAAACAAAATATACTTAAGTAAAAGTAAAATTACAGATTTTAAAAATTACTTAAAAAAAGTAGAAGTACACAAAAAAGCTACTCAATTACAGAATTAAGAATTCGTTCGATTTATTAATTTGTTTAATTTGTTCAGTTAAATCATGGGTAATTTAAGGAACAAAATTAATGAAACATGGACATTGGCTACAAATGCTACAAATTTAGGAACAAATAGCCTATC